GTAAGATACTTTGTACGCAAACATAAAAGTTTAGCATTGCTTTTGCTTTGCGGGGAGTCACCCTTGAGTCAGAAACAGATGTTTGTGGAAGCCTGCCCGCTCAAGTATGTGGAGAAAGGGACCTCTTAGTTTATACCTGTGGTAGATGAATTACATCAGTAGTTTACGTATCTTTACATATTTTTCTTCGAAGTCCTCTGTACAATTTTGTAAATATAAGGACCAATCATGTCATTACTGTACCTAGAATACATTCAGAAGCAAATCACTTAGTAAATACATTTTCCACTAATAAATAAATTCAAATGGCCTGTACTTATATAGTGCTTTTTCAAGTCAGGAGACTTAATCAAAGCACTTCACAATACATTCAGTCATTCACCCATTCACGCACATACTGATGGTGGCAAACGACATTTTAGCAACCGCTGCCCTGGGGCTCACTGGCAGAAGCAAGGCTGCCGTACACTGGGCCTTCTGACCACCATCAGTAGGCAATGCGGTTGAAGTGTCATGCCCAAGAACAAAACAACTCTGAAAGCGATAACCATTTGATTTCAGGGCAAACTCCTATGTCCGTCCATTCGTCTATCTTCTTCCGCTTATTCGGGGTTGGGTCGCGGGGGTATCAGTTTCAGTAGGGAGGCCCAGACGTCCCTTTCCCCAGCCACTTGGGCCAGCTCCTCCAGGGGAATTCAAAGGCACTCCCAGGCCAGCTGAGAAACATACTCCATCCAGCGTGTCCTGGGCCTTTTCACAGTGGGACGTGCCTGGAACACCTCATCAGGGAGACGTCCAGGAGGAATCCTAATCAGACGCCTGAGCCACCTCGACTGGCTCCTCTCGATGTGGAGTCGTGGTTCTACTCTGAGTCCTTCCTGGATGACTGAGCTCCCCACCCTATCTCTAACGAAGATCCCAGACACACTATGGAGAAAACTCTTTTCAGCCACTTGTACCCGTAATTTAATTGTAATTTGAAAAATTTCTTTTACTTTTAAGGGTCAGGGTAGAGTCCTGCAACGGGTCGGGTACCCGCGGGTCCCCGACGGCTCACCCGCTAAATAAAAATAAAAATAAACGGGTCGGGCGGATATTTTTTTAGTGCGGGCGGGTAGTTGGTGATTTTTTTTTTATGCGTGTGTGTTGTTATGGACATCAGAAATGTTATATTAATCAGGCGCTGGGGTCACCCTTGTTGTAGCTTAAAGCCCTGCCGGCAGTGTGGGCTTCCCTCCAAAAAGGCCACAGTCAGTGCATACACGCCTGCCGCAGTGTTATTGGCGCTGTTCTGCAGCGCAGCGTACTATAGCCTATTACTTGATGTGTTAACGGGTCGGGTTGCGGGTTAAATATGAACGGGTCGGGTCGTGTTCGGATTTGAATTGAAGATATCCGCGGGTGACGGGTCGGGTTCGGTAGTCATCCTAACGAGTTCGGGCAGGTGCGGGTTGGTAAAACTGGACCCGTGCAGGACTCTAGGTCAGGGTTTAGTAATTTGAAGATGACCCTTTCGGTTGGTAGCAGCATCACATAGACATCCCAAAGTGCATCCAGCCACCATCAGCAGATAAAAAAGGAGAGGGAAAAGGTGTGTATAGTCACTGATTGTTTTGTCAATGACAGGAAGGACAACATGGATGTATTAGGTAAAGAGTATTCTTTGTTGTTTTTTTTTTCAAGTTTAAACGGACAACTACTTTGTTAAACATGTTTTACAAGTACCTTTGAGTGAACTTTGTAGAATTATATATCAATGTGTGTCTGTCGAAAATTTTATCTAAGAAAAAAAAGCTAAAACAAAAATGCAGAGATAAATTATACCATTGGAAGACTAGCAATTTAATAAATTTTTAATTTGTTGAATTTAAATGCTCATTACCTTATTTCTTTATATATTTATTTGAAAAGTAAGTCATTTGCAAAGGTGTTTATTTATTCATGATTTTATTAATTTAAATTTAGTGATTCTCCATACCTTTCCAGAGTATTATTTTTCACATCAAAACTACTAGCAACTTCAGATGAAGGTCAGACTGAGAAGTCGGATAACATTTACATAGTGGAGCAGAATTATTCACGTTAATAAATATGTCCAATGTATTAAAAAAAATAATAATAAAATTAAAAACATTTTGCATTTTTTTGCTCAGAGATATTTGTTGTCCCTTTACATCACAAAACAGATTGAAATAGAAGTTTGTTTTTTTAAGACTAATGAAAGAGAACAGATTTAAGCGACTGAAGCCAAAGTTCCCTTTCTGTCTTTTCCCTGGAGAAACACAGTTCAGGGAGAAAAAAGTAACCACCAGAGGTTTTTTTTTTCCCCCCAATGTTCCTGTCTGGGTCTGTTTTTCTTCTTTGTCTTTTTGCCTTACATTACAATACTACGTTTTATTGTTTCAAATGTTTGTTTGTTTTTCTGCCCTACATTTGGGCAAGAAGTTTTCCTCAAAATACATACTTTTATGGTTTCCCATTTTAAGAGCAGATAAACAAAGTTCACCCTACAGTAGTGTCACATCAAAGGTATAATGTAGAAAAAACAGATCATGTGTAATTATTGATACTTAGACAAACTGAATAAACAGTTATGACAGAAAAAAATCATACAAATAGATTCTAAAAGCCAATCAATCCAACTCTGTGAGCCAGTTATCTTTATACACTCCTATTACAGCTCATAAAGTTATAGTGCTGTAAAATATTAAATGCATCACACTAATTTTAACATCAGCCAGAGCTCACATTAGTACATGCAAGTGTCAAATCAACAGGCCAATGCAACTTTTACACAGAGCTGGTAGAGAAGAAAAAGAAAGATAAAATGCAAGAGAAAAACATGGAAATTCAGACTGCTAGCTAAAATTATTAAAACAATTAAAAATGTAATGTGGTTTGATTAAAGCCTATATTTTGGCCTGCCTTCTTTGGTTTTAGCTTTCCTGCTGACCCTCTAAACATAATTAGATTCCCTCTCATCTTTTTAGGTCTTAGTTTAAGAAATGACATTAGCAAGGGAGTTCATTATAAATTACCAGCATAAAATCATATATCATTGAAACAGCTATGTTAGACAAATAACTGAAGTATCAGTCCACAGGGAAATCTTTAAAACTTAGGTAACTTATTGGGTCCTTATTTATGAGTGAAAACACTTCAGACCTGGTTTACTCTAACATCAAAGATGCAATCAGAGCAGTACCCGGCCCCACCTTGGGTCATCAGATCATCTCTCTGTCATGCTAATCCCTGCATATAAGCCCCAGCTGATCAGGGCTAAAGAGACAGTTAAAGAGGTCAGAGTGTGGTCTGAAGGCGCCATAGAGAAACTCCAAGGCTGTTTTGAATGCTCTGATAGGAACATCTTCAAGGCTGCAGCAACCTATGACAACTCATTAAATATTGATGAGTATGCCATGACTGTGTCAGCCTACATTAACAAATGCATTGAGGACGTCAGTATCAAAAAGAATATCACCACCCGGGCCAACCAACCACCCTGGATGAATGAAGAGATTCCGAAATCGCTAAAAGAACTCAGCTTTCAAGTCTGGTGATAAAGGGGCACTGAGAACAGCCTGTGCCAACTTAAACTGTGTCATCAGCAAAGCAGAACCACAGCCAGAAGATCCAGGATCTTTTCTACAACGCCAGCAAAACCTGGAGGATGTGGCAAGGCATTTGGGTGATCATAGACTAGAACACACCTTCCCCCCTGGTAGATGCAGCAAACACTTACTTCCTAAATAAACTGAACAACTTCTTTGGAAGGTTTGAGACACTAAACAGCACTCCAGCAGTGAAAGCTGTTCCACACCAGGGGGTAGAGGCACTAAACCTGAGAAGAGTCAGCCCAAGGAAGGCCCCAGAACCTGATAATATACCTAAGCGGGTGTACAAGGAATGTGCAGATCAGCTGGCTTTTTAACACCTTGCTGGACCAATCCATAGTGCCAGTATATGGACCTCAGTCAGTCCGGGTCGGATATAACACCTCTGATGTCATCACCCTAAGCACAGGCTCCCCTTAGGGCTGCGTCCTGTGCCCCCTGCTCTCAACCCTGATGACACATGACTGTGTCTCCAGGTTCACTACGTTCACATCGTTAAGTTTGCAGACAACACTGCAGTGGTGGGCCTCATCAGAGACGACGATGACCAGGACTACAGAGAGGAAGTGGAGCAGCTGTTGGGCTGGTGCAGAGATACCAGCCTGCTACTGAATGTGGAGAAGACAAAGGAGATCATCTTGGACTTCAGGAGGGACCGGCGTAACCACGCTCCACTGCTCATCAACAGCTCAGCTGTAGAGGTGGTCAGCAACTCCAAACACCACCTCACTGATCAAAAGGGCACAAAAGCGCATGTACTTCTTGCAGAGGATAATGAGAGCCCACCTGCCCCCACCCATCCTCACCACCTTCTACCGAAGCACCATAGAGAGCTTTCTGACCAGCTGTCTCACTGTGTGGTGTGGAGGTTGCAGCGTCTAACACTGGAAAACGGTGAATACAGCAGAGAGGATCATCGGGGCTCCTCTTTCCTCCATAAAAGACATTTCATCCCAGCACTCTGAGCCCGTAACAATATAAATGACCCCTCAAACCCCCACCATGGACTTTTCTCCCTGCTGCCCTCTGGGAAGAGGCTTCGGAGCATCCGATGCAGATCCAGCAGATTCCAGAACAGTTTCTTCCCCACTGAAGGAATGAATATTGGAATCGAACTTATATACAGTCGTATGTTTACATTATAACTGCTGCTTACCTTTATCACGGCTGCTCTTTAAAAATAAGAAAGTCTTGAGAGCTGTACTGTACGAAATAAATTTTTGCATACACTCTGTGTATACAAAATGATAAAGTCTAAATCTAATTTAACACCGTGGAGCATTTAGAAACACCTCCTCAAGTGGATAAATAAGCATGGCTTTAAATAATTCTTTCTTTATCTGTAATCAAGGGTTGATAGAAATGTATTAAAGCATTTGTACTCACCCATCATCAACAAAACAGGGGTATGGGATTTGCTGGAGAAAAACACCAAGCGGCTGAGACTTTGACGTTTGCAGTCGAATGACAGCATGGTCCATCATGTCCTGCAGGTAGGCAAAGCCTCCCCAGATGTAACGCAGGTCGTCAAAGGCATTGTCCCTGGCTCCAGGAGACCATGACCTTTTTAAAAACAAAGTTATACAAATATGTATTTATAAAAGGAAGGTAAACCACACACTGAACAGTCAGACATCTATCCTTAATATTTTAAGCCACTAAATAACAATGAGACAGATACAGTACACCGCTAATTTTGAAAAAGAAGCAACTCTCCTTTTTTATAATACCAATATCTTGCTCCAAATTTAGGAAAGAAAAAGCTTACATAACATAAAGAATTGAAAGTATAAAGCTTGTGGTACTGCTATCATTTCTCCAGTTTACAGAAATGTTAGTGAGAAAACTAGAAAATATAGATAGAAAACATCCAGAGTGTCTGAGTTTTTATTTTTTTCTTTCAGTATAAACAAGCCCAAAGTGAACAACTTTGCTTACTTTTAAAATGTAGGTTGAAAGTATTCTACTCGTGGCTTTTTGAGAAATGCTTGTATGGCTGACTGTGTTCAATGTTTACAGTCAACTTTGAGTTCTCAAACTCTATGATCTTTAACTGTCCAATCTCTTGCCAACATATATATGTGGGTCCCATAAGGATTATGCTTAGGCTAGATGGCTATTAAATTGGTTTCATTTCGGAGCCACTTTGACTAAACACAGCCTATATTAGCAGAACTGGTTGCCTTATATAGTTTGTTATAAGCTGATTCTCAAATGAATCATGTGAAAAATTAATCAGCCTTTTTTATCTACCAAATTCAAGCCTATATTTACATAAAACATTTGTGTTAACCAGGTATAATCCCTTTTTGTACCCATGTTTTAGCCTATGTGCTATCTAAATGGGGTCTAGGTGTAAATGTTGGCCCTACTTAAAAAAGAATGTGCTACATGTTTGAGATATAAGTGTAAAGCGAAACAAGACATCTCAGACACAAGCTGGGCCCAAGTTTAGCATTCTAGATGCTAGCAAGAAAACATCATTATGAGCAGTTTGATTCACATAGAAAATTAAGATTTTAACAAACATAATGGTTAAATGGGAAAATCACTGTCAAAAAAAGTCAAATCATATGTTTAAATAGTATTTAACTATAGTTACACAAATGCAGTCACACTGGAAACTAAATTAAAAAAAAAGTTGAAGAACTAAGACTCTCCCTGTTTGAAATCCAGCGCAGAATTTTTGAAAGTTATCTTTTGAGTACCAACAAGATTTTTTCATAATTCTGCAACCACTAATGCAAGAATTGGTGTCAGCAAGACCTACACTGAAAAGTATACCATCCATTTAGTAGATTACTGAGGGCTATTTTTTTTTTTTTTTTGGACATGTAAACTACAAAGACACAGGGGACTTGGTTAAAATTGTGAGCAGAAAAGATGCAGTAAATAATCAGAAATTCCTACACTTAAGAGAGACAAAATATTTGTAGATGCTGCAGGCTTTGCGCTGTTGGGATCACACGTTGCTGATGTAACTGGAACTACACCCCTCTGAAGACACAACTCTCTAGTGGAGCTTTTAAAAGATGGACTACTGTCGTTCAACTTCCTGTTGCCAGTAGCACGTGGCTGCTAAAGGCTTGATTCTAAAGCACTTTCCAGCTTAAGGCTATGCTTAGTAGCAACCTTTTTCCTGCGATTCAGAAGGGGCTGAACGTGGTGTTTTAACTTCATGTTTTAGTTATTTAATTTATTCATAATCTCCTGGTAAACTTTCACAACAGTGCTAAAAATGTGGAGGGTTAATATGAGAAGAAATAAATGGACTTCAGCTTGATGTTAAAGGTGGTGGTGCATCATGATGGGTCATGCAAACTTGTTAATTTAAGTACTCTAAGGGCCGGATCTATCAAAGGTTTGCGTGTATAAAAACGTGAGCTATTTCACTGCGCACGCTAAAAAATGTACAAACTGATCTATCAACAG